TCCTGCTGTACCAATGCAGAAATGCCCAAGAGTTAGAGGCAAGAGAGGTGAAGAGAATTTTGGGAATGTTGATGAATTTCATCTACAGGAAGATAGCATTGAAGCAGCCCAGAGAAGAGCCAGTTCCAATCAGAACATGACAGTGAATAGCTATAGGAGAATAAGAGGTAAGATTAAGGAAAAAATCTGTAATGAAAATGTGGTGATAAACTAACGATTGGTAAATGGAAAGTGAAGAAACTGAGAAAAGAAGGTGATTATAAATCTATGAAAAACAGAAGTTGGATTAACCGCCCAAATGGTTAAGTTGTGAATAATGTAAATAATTGATGTTGAATTATAAAATGAGGGTTATTCATATTGACAGTGTAGGCAGAGGAGGAAAGTTTGGATGAGGGGAGGTGGGTTAGGGTTAGAAAGTAAATCCTAATCTCAGATTGTGTGGAATCAATGAATAATATCTAAATTTTTTTAAAAATCAAGGAATAGTAGTAAAGTACATCATGTGGAAATATCATAAATATCTGAAACAAAATGCCAAAGAGTTGAAAATTATTTCCTCAAGAAATAGTATCTGGAGATAATTCTGTGTGGGAACAGGTAGAGCAGAGATGTGTCGATTTTCATCATGAGCCTATAGTACTATTTGACTTTTAAAACTAAATGCAAGTGTTACTTTAATAAAAATGAAGTTAAACAAATAAAGGTTTGGCAGATTTATACTTTGCAGTTGCAAACAAACAGAGGAAATCATATCACAAGAAAAAATGTTAAACATAAGTGTCTTTAGGTGGTGGGGCTACAGGTGATTTTATTTTTTATTCACTTTTTTGGATTTTTCTAATTGGTCAATAACATGTATACATTACTTTTATAATTGAAAATCTCAGCAAAATTCTGTTTTAAAAAAGCACAAAACACTGCCTTCATTTAATAGATGAGAAAAATGGGCTTTGGAAATATAATTGACTACTCGAGGTACATAGCTAAGTAGTGTGAGACAAAACTAGAGACTATTTTGATCTTTTAATTCCTGTCGCAAGTATTTTCTCACTATGATCTTTTATCTTCAAAAGTGGTTATAGAAATAAACATCAGAGAATGTGGGTTATAATTACATTTATTTCAAATAAGTAACTCTAACGAAAGAGATTTTGGTCATATCCTATAAGCTACGTATGTTAAAATCCATTCCAGTTACAGAACAGGCAGTGGTTATAATTAACACATAGAAAAGTATAAGCACATCTGGAAGCAGGGTTAGTGATTCAGCAGCTGGAGTTTGATGAAGACATTAGTGAAAGTCAGGGTTGAAGCCGTCAGAATTCATTTTTAAGTGACTTGCATTTTATGTGCCAGTGCAAGTCTAACCAAAGTTCATGCTTGGTGTGTGGCTGGTTGGTTTACTTTTGGGGGCTGGGGAAGAAGGGTGGAGAATAGGCTGTAAGCGGGTGGGTAGGGTTGACAGAAAATATTTTGTTTTCAGAGAAATTTTCTGACAAAGATTTTTTGTCGAATATCACAGGTCACATTTTAATTTAATGTCTTAGAAATACTTATTGAATGACTGCTGTATGTCAAATATTGTACAAGGTTCTGGATGTATTCCTCCGATACACTTTGTTAGTATTATTTTTCATGGTACTAGAGTTTGCACTACTTTAATCTGACCTCCAGACAGAGACTTGAAAGTTCCGTAGCAAGTGCCATTTATGGTCCACTGAAAACTACTGCAAATAACAAAATGATAAAATAATTTGGGTTATAAGATTATCATGATATTTAAAATAGAAATTAAAAAAAGAAACCTGTGTTCCTTTCTGTCATCTCATTTCTGAAAATCTTTGCCTGCATCTTAGTTCATCAGTAAGCCATTAAAATTCAATTTAACCTGGCATCTCAGATTTTAATTTTGATAGGACTAGATTTTCTTTTTCTTCCCATGTTAAAGAGCATTCATTTTTTTAAAGGAGGTTTTGCTTACTGCTGAAGGGTGTAGCTTTTTCTTTGAATGTCCAGCAGAGGGCATGAAAGCCTATCCATGATTCTAGCCCAACGGCTAGATTTGATTTAATGGCTAAGGGAAACCATGAAGCTAGGTTTTTGACACACTTTAGCAGAATGGAATAATAATGAGGTTCAAATTTGCAAAGAGGAATTTAGTACTTTAGTTTGTGTTGCTCACAATGAAGCTGAGCGTCAGGTGAGACGCCTGCCATCAGAGAGTCTAGAAAATTTGAAATATACTTGTATTTCTGAGGGTGACACTTGTAAGTTTGAGTTGCCTAAAAAGGCAAGGTAATTTGTGTATATGCTCCTTATGTGGTCTATGACACCTACAGCACTGACCCTATAGGTCTAGTCTATTACTTTTCTACCTGACCATGAGTTCCCCTTTAATTTTCAGTTTTGTAGTTCCAACTTGTTTCATTTGTGTTAGGAGCACAACTTTTATAAAAGACAACTATAAAATTCAGTATCTTTCATGGAAATGAAATAGAGCTAGGATAAGACTGAATAGCATTCAGCTGGACAATGAAATGAAACTCAACCAGAACATTATATTTAAGGCAAAATGTGAAATACTTCAGGTTTGAATAAGAGAAAATGACA